GTTTTCAAAAGATCATTTCAAAACCGACCTCAGTAAAATCTTAATAATATTAATAATAATAATAAAAAAAAAACGAGTTTCAAAAGGGCATTTTCTTTGATAGAGGGCAAACTTCCTAGTGCTTTAGCACCACCTAGTGTCTATGTGTGCACGCCCCTGTTAAAAGCTATCTAGTATTTCACATTTCATGAACACAGTCAGATAAATTCACATTTCAACATTATAACCTAGCGCGTCACTGCCTAAAAAATGTGTCGGGTTCATAAAATGTAGGTTTTTGCCTAAGAAGAACTGAAATACACAATTTATGGACACAATTTCTGCAGAAAGGAGAGACAGTTGAACCCCAGACACAAACACACTGTCTCCCACTGGACCTCCTCCGCAGAGCATTTTATTAACAGAACATGACGCATGGTTACAAACAGAGTATTGTTCTGACAGAACAATTGATCAGTTCATAAAGACAGGATGCTGCACTAGAATGACAAGGCAGGATGGTCTCCTGACTGGATCATGACACAGGAATGGAGCATCCCCTCGCACAAATGTTTCAGAAACACATTAATTTTATAATCATCATTGAATAAACCTAACAATATGTACTTCGGCAATGGCAGCCGCTATGTGGTAAAAAGCTTCAACAAAGCAGAAACCATGTCATCCGAGATAAATTAAGTGACACAAGCTTACATTTACTGTTACAAAAAGCCAGCATTCAACAAGGCTAGTAGCTACTAAACCCTTAACTCTGCACTGACAAGATTGATGTGTTTTCAGGATCTACTCTTATGTTCTCTACGGTAGCAAGCAACATTGTCTAATGGAACCAAAATTGACAAAATTAGCTTTCTGCTAATTTAGGTAGTACACTTCACTAAGTTGTTCTCTTTTTGGCTTTCTTGGTAAAACTGTTTCTTGTGCTGCTGCTGCCTATTCATGGTCCTGCATTGTGCTGCAATAGAAAGACTCTCAGTTGTCGTTTTAGTGTCTCCAGATCAACACTGTCGCCTCTGAATCATACTGAACTGCCAGTAAGTGGAAACACGTTGTTATTCCATGCGTTATTAATATTTTATCACTCTTTAGCCTCTATGCTTTCAAGTAGGGATGTCACAATTCAACTTTCTCATTTCCCATACGATACCGATATTCTAGCTTTGGGAATTGCTGATACTAATCTGGACCTGATACGATATATCACGAGTCTCACTGGCTTTTATTACTTATTTTACGTTATAGAATGTTAGAAAAGGCTTGATCAAGTAATAACATTAAAATAGGGAACAAAAGTCAACAACAAAAGGTATGAAAACAAGTGACGCGTGTAGAAATAACCAATGAGTTACAGAAACTTTAACAGGAAGGTTAACAAATAGTTGACCAGCCTTATGTATAAAACTAATATGCAATGTATCTGAATATTATTGTAGGTAATTATACACCAATAATAACACATATGTAAATGGTTTCAGTTAGTAAAAAAGAGACATTTTTCAACGGTAAAAGATTTGTTACTGTATTGATTATTTAATTTTTTGTGCTGAATGTTTCACTGAAGCAAAAACTGTAGAAATCTACAAGGGTCTGAATGTTTTCTTCTAAGGTTTCATGTTCATATTTGTTTTTCCCAGCTGGTTGAAGTTGTTGCCTGTGCTGGAGAAGAGATATGGTGCTAACAAGTGTTACATGTTTGAGAACAACGTGTTTCCCAGAGAGAGATCGCTGCCTCCTCCCAAGCCCCAGGTTTTGCCCAAACAGAACCAGTGGCAGAATGTAGCAGGGGTAAACATCCTAGCTCACCTGTACAAAGAACCTATCATGCCTCAGTTTAAATGGGCCAAGTTTAAAATCATCGTCAACCCCAGAGCTGTGTTTACCATCACCGTCCACGGAGTGGTAAAATCCCAAAAGGGTTGTGCCTGGATCGACAGAAACATAGCGAGGATGTACCACACAAGGTAGGTCAACAGCTCCGTAACTAAAAACACTGATGATGTCACACGTAGATGAAACCAGAGGTTACATTCACTGGATACAATAATATAATCTTATTACCTCTTACTTAAAATTTTAATGAATTTTTTTATTTGACACTGAATGAAACGAAAAAGACTCAAGCTTGAATTGTCTTAAGTTGTTGGATTTTCCTAGCCTAGTAAACTAGCCCCACCCGCCAGCGGCCAAAATCCTTTTTACCTGCGACTGGTCTAGCCTCGATCAATGCCCCAGGCTCTAGAACTAGCTGGCCAATCACAACGCAGAGATGTGTTTTGAATTTCGGTATGCAAAGCGTTTTTGAGGGCGTGACGACAAAGCTGTGCGACGCTGGAGAAAGGAACACAAGGAAGATGGCAACAACTATTGAACAGTTCTCGTTTGACTCAGCTTTGAAATCAGTGTTGGAAGGATTAGACTTGGGCTTTTCGTTGAAACGTGAGCAGGAAGAGGCTCTACGCTCATTCATTTTTAGGAAGGACGTATTCGCCGTTTTACCAATAGGCTGTTTGTTTCCACTCCCCCACCAGCTTTCTGTCGAGCTACGCCACAGTCAGTTGCCCTCATTGGTCAGAATGTTGGCTAATAGGCACAGAGAGCGGTTTGAAAGACAAAGGGTTGCTCTCATTAACAATCTTCTGATTGAGTAAATTACACATATAATCTCACCTTTAGTCATCTTTATCAGGCTAAGATTTTCTTTTTAAACTGCAGGATTTTGGTAAAGCATTTTGGATATAATTTCACCAGCTTCTAATAGCAATGTTGCTGGGATTCTGGCCTTTTTTTTTTACTTGATCTCTTCTACTGCCCTTCAGCTCCTGATATGTTGACAGTTTTTTTTTTCTCCATTATGTCACACAAGGAAGACATACCTTTGAAATTGCGTGACTGGAAACTACAGAGTAAACACAGGAAGGCAAACATTACCAGACTTGATTTTTTATCTTATTTCGTTTGACTGGTGTAAATTTAGGCAATGTTAGACTGTGTTATGCTGTCCAAGTTTTGATTAGGTTTCATAAGAGATGTCTGTTAAAACAAACAAATGTGATCTGCTTGTGATGATCTACTGTTTACTATATTAGCTTGAACTAACACCATTAGCAGAAGCTAACGTGAATTCAAAATCAAATAGGAAGATAAAGAACAACAGTTTAAAGTGTCAGTGAATCATCTTTCAGACGTAACACACTTTTCTGATAAAATACAAGAAAATTTAATAACATTTGCTACAAGTCATCTGACTGCCCCAGTCAAGCTCCAGTATCCATTATATTTTAAGGCTCGTGCACAAAATATTTAAAATAAACACCTGTCACTGAAATAAAACTACAATATGGTGATTAGATTTTGTTTAGCGTTGATAGTGTCCATTTGGAGAGGCTGATCTAAATGTTTTTTATATTTATAATTCTATAATACAATAATATTACAATAAACATTGGACTACTAATATGGTAGGATGGCGGGAAAGAAGGGTAAAATACGGTAGTTTCCAAGTCAAAATGGCAGACTTGTACGGAAGAGGATTAGGGCCACTGGAAAAAAAAAAAAGTTAACTGATTTTTAAATGTTCTTTCAGTTTAACATGGGAAAATAGTCAGAATTCTGACTTTTTTTCTCAGAATTCTGACTTTTTTCACAGAATTCTGACTTTAATCTCAGAATTTTGAATTTTTTCTCAGAATTCTGACTTTTTTCTCAGAATTCTGACTTTAAACTCAGAATTCTGACTTTGTTTTCAGAAGTCTGACAGCTAACAAACATGTTAGCATCCAGCCATAGCCATGTCTGTTTTACAGACTAGCTCTCTTGTTTTAATGACCTTCTGCTCCTCCATTAATGAGGGGACCCCTCGGGCACGTAAAAAGTTGCCTAATTCCGTCATTTTCCACCAGTAGCTACGTTTACATGTGCAAAATTTCCCCGATCCGATCCAAA